ATTCACGTTGATACAAAATTATAGTAGTATAATAATTGAGGAGTGGCAGATAAGTTGTACAGTTTACTCACAGTCCAAGAAACATTTTAGTCGCAGTATAGCAACTTATTGGGGGAGCCAATACCGGGGTCCGAGACAACATCCTCGGTAGCATCTGCCTCAATTCTGGTTCTGCAACTTGTATTGTCGGTACACTGGTCCCCTGACAACAGTACAGCGGCGACACCTGAAACCATACATATGACAATATTTAATATTCGAGCACTTCACAAATCACTCAATAGCCCCCAACATTTGTTTTAATATAGTGCTATTTTAAGGTCGGATAACACCCGAAATGATTACGTGGGACGAGATTGCTTGTATAATCTTTTTATCTACACTTTAATCAACTCTTCTAATAATGTCTGGCAATCGGCTTTGAACATAGTTGATAGTGAATTATTAGTGACGTATAGCTATTTTATTTTAAACTAAAACTTCATCAGAAAATAGTAACGTTCGTGTGACAGGAAACATCTGAATAAAATAGTTCATTTCGGAATGTTAGTGATAAGGCGGCAAAGAAAAAAAAACATTTCAGTCTCGTATGATAATACATCATAGTTGATTAAGAGTGAGCTTAACTTACCACAGACGTGTGGGGCAGCCATCGATGTACCACTAAGTGTTGCGTAACAACTGTCACAGGTGTTGTACGAACTTCTTACACTGCTTCCAGGAGCAAAAATTTCAAGACATGTGCCATAGTTTGAAAAGCTTGAACGTGCGTCTTGGTCTGTTGTAGCACCAACAGTTATGCTCTGCAAACGAGTGAACGAATGATGTGAGTATGGTTTTGCTGCACACACTGCCTATCCACACATCATAATAATTTCTTTGTCGGCACATTTACCAAAACAAGTCTAGATGAACTAGCTATAGTAATTTTCCACACTTAGCTTTTACAAATTACTTGTACTCACCGTTGACTCTCTCGACGGGGATCCGTCGCATGCATCCTCATTACTATTTCCAGCAGCAACAGCGGTAGTATACCCGGCTTCAGTTAAACGTGTCGTGGCGTCATCCATAGCAGGACTGGGACCTCCACCAAGAGACAAGTTGGCTGCACCAGGCATGGTGCCACCATTAGCAACAGCGTCAATTCCTGCAAAGTATGAAACACATGTCTTTTTTATACAGAAAAATATCATATAAGGAACCAAAAAACATCAACTCGGCTTTCCTTGAAATCCGGGAATATGAATCGTTCGTTTTATTTTGGAAAATGTAATTGTCGGAAGAAAAAATATTGTTTTTTAACCAAATTTTAGCACTGTCGCCTATGAGCAATATTTTACACGCTGTGTCCTATTTGCAATAATTATAGTAACGATATTACTTCATTTCGCCAGAGGCAAAATATTCAACACATTTTATTAGTATGCTGTCCAGCAGAATCAGCTAGCATTGTTGACAACCTATCAAAATACGCACGAGAACGAAAACAAATACGTGATGAGTTGTTTTCCCGCGTTCACAACGCAAGCGCGATAACAAGATACGTTGTTTTTGGTGAACGGGCGAGAAATTATTTGACTGTAATATCATATCATATGCCCAATGTTTCAATACTAAAACAGTGATGCGTAAACAAGCAGTATATAAGTTGTTTAAAATCGTAGACATGCTATTATTTGAGCGCTCAATAACATGATGCACCCATTTCTTCCAACGATTTCGTGTGTGAAAAATCAATGTGAACAATTTGCGTAATTTCAGTCATTTGCACGTCTTGAACGCACACACTTCTAGTTGCATGAATTCTTATGCCACACCATCCACCTTAATGCTGTTCACTGTGACCATTAAGTCAGAAAGAAATATTTTGTACCGTCAACAATGTTGGTAGTTAAACCGATGCCATTGCAGTTCATTACTCGGACGCTGTACACGGAGGCTGCAGGGGCAATACCGACGTCAATTCCAACCGATGTACCGCCACAATGGGTGCCATGGCCGTTACAATCATCTCCCTGCAATATAATATTGAAGGTTTGTTACGCTTACAAACAATACACTTTTATTACTTGGCCAATACCAACAAATAAGAAATATCAATATATTTCACAAGTTAGAATTAGAAGATGTAGTATTTGAATTTGAATTTGTTCTGAACTATAAAGATCATGACTGTAACATAAGTACATTTTGTACATGTATACAACTCTTTTTCAATATATCTCGCGAGGAATCGTTTCTATGACGTCAAAGATACGTAGAAGGATGTAAGCAATTTTGTTCAAGTATACAACTAATTTGTTTGTTTTTTAGCCGTTCGTCACATCTCGGTACTGTAAACGGCGTCCCAGACACGCATTCACGTCACAAAAGTGCTCTATCACTGGAGGGCGGGATTTTCAGAAACGACATATTGTACAGACAAATACGACCAGAATCTGTGAAACAATAAAATAAGTTTAAAATCCTTAATGCATGTAATCGCAAGTCTTATGTTACTGACAAATTACATAAGTTCTTACCTGATTTAGAGGTTCAAAATCGAAGAAGAAACTTGCGCGCCCTCCAAATTCAACATGGGTATGACGTAGACCAGTATCAATTATGTATACATGTGTGCCAGAGCCGTCACCTTAATGGAAATCACATTACACTGATTAGTGAACCTGCGAATTATTTGGCGAACAGTATTCAGACAGGTGATAAGTTGTAGCATATAGATAAAACTTCACAACGGCGCTACCAAGTCGTTCTATCCTGCTTTTCAGTAATCTATGACACGTGTATATTCAATTCAAGATATTAAAATGTCTTGAAAAAGAAACAATGTTAACATCCTATACTAAGCTTGTTTAACAACAACTCAAAATTACCATTGAAATTCGCAACTCCATTGAGAGGAAGATTTCTTTGGTCGGTACGATCACAACCCCATTCAACATCAATTTTGTAGATACCGTCTTCCTCAATGTACTCAAACTCATCCATGGTTCTCAACTACATGCAAAAGGAAAACATTGTTACCATAGGAACGGCGGTTATCTTTAATGGTTTATCCCACTACATTATTACATAACGTCGGAGGTGTGGCATATTACCACAGACCTATTTAATACTTGATTGGATACTACCTGGTTAATGTTCTTCTCTTGTGCCTCGATTGCAAAACCATGACTGTATCTAATTTTGATTCCAATACCCATACCAGGCAGTTTAGCAGCAACACTGTCAAGATCTACACCCTCCTGTGAACGAATATGTATGTGCCTTAATCAACTGTCTGTACAATGATATTACAACACTATTTATATTTTATTGTCAATGCCATATTTGTGCTTAATTTGATTAGGAATTTGGCAGCTTAAATAATCTAAGCAAGACCCAATCAAGAAATGCAAGTCAATTTTTGTAAGATGTAATATTGAATAATGTTCGCTTATCACCAATTACTACATGCAGAGTCAAATACTCGACAGTCGTTTTGGCGTCGTGCGACAATATCACACTAAAAATACAACAACTTTGCAACATCGCCTTCAGTTAAATTCCTAACTTATAATTCACGGTCAACACTAACTGTCATTAAATGGAATAACACATTTTTTTACTCACCTTAACTTTCAAGATGTACCTGTTTTTTACTACATCCCGTGCTCTGTACAAGGGAACGAGCTTTGCAGCACTAGCTGCGGCAACAAGTAGAGCAAGGACGATGAAACGCATGGTGATCTGCTAAAGATGAGAATGTTATTGGTCAAAAGAAATACGTATTAAAATAACAATGTCGAAGACTGCATAAGTCGTCTTACCTGTTCGGGGTACCTCAGTATGAAGGATGTAGATGTCCTGAAAGAGGGCGCCTTTTATTTATTTCTGTGACCAATGTTTTGTGTGGTACCGTTATCAACTGGGTTATCGTCAGGAAACGAAATTACAGACAGGCACGTGTGAGGTATTATTCATTGATTATAATTGATATCAATACCGCTATAAGGTGTCGTGTGTTTATTGCTATGTTCTAGTTTACATCCACACGCCTGGTCAGAATATAACTATGTAAAAGTTGACGATTGGCTATTTGTTACTCCCCCCGCAACAACATTCTCAATCTCATGTGTATACCAGTATTTCATCTCTTTAAGTTAGCTTTGCGTGTTAACTGAGACCGGTTACTTCATTGCGTGGGAATCAACACATTTTATGTAATGCACCTAGATGTCAGCAGACACCACTATCGTAAATGTGTTATCACTCTTATCATTTACTTGGGTGTGTGTTCTACCCATATGCCCAGCTGCTTTGGGAATTGGCTCAAATGCCAAGTGTTAAATGTAATAGCTATCAATCTCATTCGTGCTTTGTTGGCTAACTGTTTTTGGCATCGTTTTTCTCTAACTTTAACGCGAATTAGCCATTTAACATTTCCTGAATCGAACACGATTTACAGTCAGCTCAGCCGTGTGTCGATTAATGTGAAAGTACTGTAACTACAGCAGTTGTTTTTGCCAGGTATCACTGACTGCGGAATCATGTTTTCAATATCTTAGTGGAAAAAACTTCAAGCTCGTATTTTTGTGTTGTCTTATGATATTGAACTAACCAATTGCGTCCGGCATGTTATATTGACTGCATTGTTCTACTAGATTTTTTTTCCAATCCAATTGTTTTTCATGTGTATTTTGTAGTATTTATGCAGCAAAACACATGAGTAACGAACGTGATATTTGAATTAGGAACCAGACATGCGCATTTCATACTTTATGACTACCGTACACCGGTATGAAATACTGTTGGGACACTATTTGGAAAACCCTAACGTGCTATATTACTAATAGTACTATTACAAATTCATGGACAAATAGCGCCATGCGCGAGTATATGTGAAACAAAAATAATTGGTAAGTGTGTACAAATAATGTCCTTTATACGTGTATACGATGGATTTCACCATTTTATTTGTGAAGGCAAAGTGGACACTGCACACGACTTGTCTGTCTAAACGGGTACTTTATTACGTGTGAATAAAAGCATCTGGTGATATGCATCTAAGCGTCACCAGACGCCACTATCATAAATGTGTTATCACTGATATTACTTGACTGCGAGGCCCCTCTAAGCATATGTGAAGATGTCTTTTCAAAATGCTGAATCAATATGTCTCAATAGATAACTGTTCATATGCAGAGGCTATTATATCCGACTTGTCGTTTATTGATGAGGATTGTTGATGTGTGTAGTAGGTGGGTATTCTCACTTTGAGAGAGGTTGTCATGTATTATCTATCATTTCAACTATCCAAATTTGGTATTGTCGTTGCGATGTCAAGAAATTATTTCGTTTTAATCAGATCTAGATGTTTTTCGTGTTCTGTAATTCTTTTGGTCTTTTTTTCAATATTGTTTTTCTTTGGTTTTATCGATTTCATTGTATTGTGAATACGGTGGTTAGCGACGGTTCTGCAACGAATTGTGTTGAGGATTTCCCCCAATGTTCCTGAACGAGGCTAGAGAGATTAAAGGCTCAACTCGTAAATTAGAGGGGGCTCTCAAATATGGAGTTCTATTGAAAGGCACATTTTGAAAGTTGAGCTTTGTTTGCGACTGAACTCATTTATAAACATAGCGATACGATGCATTGGTTGACAATGATTGATATTCGACTACATTCGATATTGCTATCAATCACTTGGCCGAAGTATAAAAGTATAAACATAGTTGAACTCTGGTGACCTTCAATGTTGCCTTTGCTTATATTCTCCTGAATTAAACACGATTTACAGTCAGCTCGAATGTAATTCGTCCATACATAACTGAGATCTTGTCTGTCTAGACGAGGTACTTTATGACGTGAATGAACAGAGTGGCGATATACATCTAAGCATCACAGACGCCATTATCGGTCATAAATGTGTGTATAAACCGCTGCTTGAGGGTGGTGGTAACCATAGAACTCTACATCGTAACATGGTACTCCCATCACTCCTTTCCTCTCAAAACAACTGAAGTTGCCCAGGAGAAGAGTGGTGAGAACCCACATGAGGCAGAGAGTCAGTAGTTCCAGATATGGAGATGAAACTGATTCTGACACGGTTTAGTGGATGGTGTTTCCACATAGGGGGCATGCCAGAGATAAAGCTACAGGGGGACAGATCCTGCAGGCAGAAGAATTTTGTAGAGGTACAAATGAGTCTGAACCATAGGCATGTGAAACTGAATTAGTGAGTGAGGATAATGGTCCAATGCATATAGGTGGTAATATAGAGGTGCCCAATGCTGAAGACCTGCACCCAGTGGGGACTTTGCCTGTGATACGCCATCTGTGGATCAGAGTGTGAGGAGATCCCAGAGAGCACATAGGCCATCTGTGAGATATAGACTTGATGAGTTTATAGCCTGTGCACAGCAGTGTGACGGTGGGCCAAAGCCATTCGATACAGGTGTGATTCGATGTGTTGTGATAGAAAGTGAACTGGAGAGCTGTATGAAGCAAGTTTGTAAGCTTACATCCGAATTAGAGGCATATTGTGAGACGAAAGTTGGAGATGTAGACCCTAAGGCAATTGAATCCGGTATGCATGCACCAGTGCTTGACCCGGTCTTAGCTTGGCGTCACTACTCAGTGAGTCAAAAGTTGTGGGATTCGAGTCAACATGTTGTATTGTTCAATATATATGTTCTTCTATGAACATTCATAGATAGAGATTGTTGTGTGTGTTTTTTTGTAAATGCTGTGACTTTGACGAATATGGAGAGACTTCATTGTGCTCCTAGTTGAGGCACCTTGGTTGTGTGGCATCTGTGTGTGTAACTTTTCAGTTCCATCAGCTGGATCCATAGTTGCACTAATCTCTGGTGCTGGTTACTGTTTGGGAATCTCCACTCTGTAGTATTAGCGAGATGTGATGCTAATGTACTAGAAGAAGAAGATGGAATCAAGGACGTCCTAGAAGAAGATGGACGCGGGACTTCGGAGAGGATATTTGCACTTTTGTTGTATGCAGATTAGCTTTGTGCATAAATCGTGGTGATCATTTCAGTTAGGAAGATATTGTTTTCTAATGTAAATAAGTTGGAAATTAAGATTGAAGATGAAAAGTCGCTGACCTAGGCAAGTAGATAGTGGTAAGGATACTGATGAAGAACAGAGATATTTTTCTTTGTGGGAGTTGTCATTAATGGTATTCGACATTTTTTTCAAAGATGAAAGCGGTTCTGGACGACCTTGGGTTTGAAGGAGAGAGAGAGAGAGAGTCACACACATATTTTTACTCAAGTAAACTTTGGGGCAACAGTCTCTTTCCTAGCCTTTTGATGTGAGATTATGCAAATTGCTGCCACATTATGTTAGTTTGAATGCTGTGCTAACTTTCATGTATAGCGACACCCCCGTTTTCATAAATGGCCATAATCGGGCGTGCGCTATATGTGTTATGCGGTCACGAAAGGCGACACATTTGCAACCTTCAAACATAACCGACTGTCATGTGATTATGTCGAACCTGGTGGGAAACAGTGCATGCATTATCTGTGCAGGGTCTTTTATAAATGACGTGATTCACGTTCAGAGATTGGGTGAGAATGCTTCAATAACCCCAAGGTCATAATTTAGCTAGATGAACTTTGCGTAAACATCACAGGGAAGACAAGACGACACAGTCAAGTCCGGTCCGGTCCGGTCCGGTCCGGTCTGGTCTGTGTATGTTAGAGCAATTCTATGATTACTCCGTGACTGTTGTACGACCAATCACAAGAAAGCATTACAGGTAAATTACGCGAAAAATTATTGTAATGGGCAAAATATTAGTTTGGTGCTCAAAGTTTCTTTTTAGGACTCCAGTGCTCTTAGTTTTACGCAGTCACAACAAGAGAAAATAAGAAAAACTAATGCAGCATAACACAATTTACATTTTATTAAACGTCTCTACTGTCCACCGTACTAATGACCAACAAACTTATGCAAGATATGAGTAATGTAATCACATATCAACTATCTCGCAAGAAGAAAAAAACATAATTTTATATATTGCTTTTTTTGAATTTTGGAATGAATGAATGCATTAAATAACGAACATAAAGTCTGGTCATACTTGATTGCTGAGTTGTAATAATGGTAATTACAAAAAATGAAAACGGTTTTCCACTATATTAGCATAAAAAAAAGTGTCAGTAAATAAAATAAATTACAAAATGCGTGATGGGAGATGATGTATTTCCGTTAAAAACAAATCCGTCAGTCTTTCGCATTGCTAGTAATTGTCATGGCAACACGTGAACCAGCAGACTTCGATTGAGTCGAAGCAAATATACAAGGTATAAAACAATCTGCTCTCTGGGTAGCCAATCAGGCTCTTCCTTGTAAATAGTTGATTACGAAAATTTGCTTCCAGTTGTCATGCGCGGTGACTATCACTGAATAGACCCAGCTCAAATTCCTCGGCAAGCATACTTTACAGGGATATCAACATTGAACATATACTTGGATATATGTTATACATATTACTAGTGTCTTTTCATAGGGCATTTCATCAGGCATGGATGCCCGCAAATCTCTTCGCTTCACAGCAGATGTGGCAAATAGTAAAAAATAATCTGGGATGATAGCTGAATGCCAAATCCGAGAAATCGCACTGCTTTATAGATGAAGATAATATATATTGTGTTATGAATCAGTGCCATCAAAACAAATACTGTAAAACATGTTCTTTTTAGCTGTAATTTCGCTAATTCAAGATGTCGCTAATTTAGAATAAAGAATATTCTCACAATGAGATTGTTGGCATTTTAGCTAAATTAAGATTTTGTTAATTTATGTATTGAGTCAAATTCGCTAAAATGGCATGTAGCTATTTCAGTGTGTTTTACAGTATTCTGACACACATACAAACTGACATAACAAGTTGCACATCACGTGTAATTAGTTGATACGAAAAATATAATAATATCATCTCTCGATCAATCTAATTTGATGAAGAATAGTATGCATGTATGTATGTATACAAACATATTAGAATTGAATAAAAGTGATTAAGACGTATGCTCCACGTGTTATTTGAATGTACACGTGGACCCAAATAACATGTAGAACATACAAGTATTAATTGTGAGAATCATATAATAGAGTTAGCTTTGATACATATGTTCGTTATATCACCGGTATGTTTATGACATATCGTATCGACGATGTGCACGTTAGGCTCCACTACCAATATTACAAAACATGTATGTCCCGTCAAATTCTCATTGTGTAGATTAGTGCATGGACGGTACTTACGTGTTAGTACCTTTCATGGTTATTGTAATGGTTTTATCACGCGTGGGAAAAAAAGCTGCAATACGTATCAATTTACTCAATTATCATGCAAGTGTACATTTCAAAAGATAAATAAACAAACCTGATTTCTAAAACTAGGGAATTCCATTGCTCCCTGAAAAGTTTAAACTTCCAGGCCGATCCATAGCCACTCTATTGATTACAAACTGTCAAATGTCAGAACCAAAATCTAAATCTAGACATAGCTGTCCAAGAATTAGTTCGATGGAAAGCCCAGTGAAGGGTTGGCCATAAATTGTATGAATCCGTCTTAAGTAAAACACATATACACTACGTAAATGAGTATTAGAAGGTGGCAAGTTGCCATGACGAAGTTAGAATCAAACATATGAGCTAGTACAATAGAACTTGTTTGTAGGCAGATACAAATATAAGTATTTTGTTGTTGTTTTTTAAAAAAAAGTGATGATGTAATTTCTTTATATACCGGTATCATGTTATTACAAAATATGTTCTTGAATTTGATCTTGGAAAAATAATATATTACCTTCAATAATATTATTTTGTATTTAATCGGTTCTCCTAAGTGACACGCAAGAATGAAACACGTGGTGTAATCATTTCCCGACTGACAGGGTGTTTAAATTTAACTACGGTGGAATTATTGCCCGAACCCCGCGCCTTTAAATAAATGCAGTTCATTCCGCAACAGTCCGATTTCTATGTAACCTCTCTTGGTGTATGTAGAACTACGCATAGTCATTCGTTGCAATGAGTTGTGAATACGGATGGTCATTCCATAGAGGTACAGCAACCAGACATCCCGACAACCATCAAACCAAGCTCGAAGATTTCCTTAAATTGGAAAAAAAAACACTTTGGCTTCGCTTTTTCGGAAGACGTTGACAATATTGCATGACCAGGGTCATACTTCATTCATGGTTTGCACAGTAGTTATTGCCATCTGCTCAACCGAAGAATTGCTCCTTAAAGAAAGTCGATGCCAAAGGTGCTTGCATCAAAATTCCTATTGTTCCAAAAGTACATACACAACAGAAGACCCAAAGAAATATACGGTCAATTACCATAGCCACGTATTTCCAATCTTCCCGTTGCTGCAGAGAGAGGGAGTCAGAGAGAAGCAACAATAAGTTAAATAAATAATGTCTCACGAGTGTTCCTATAATATTTGTTTTGTTCCGATCCGAAAGTCAAAAGGTCGGTCTGCTTGCACTGACTTGCATGGATTGTCATTACACAGTACGAGGGTATCGTAACATGTTACAATCATGTTTTATTACACTGAAATAATAAGACGTATCAATTGGAAAATATACATCTACGTACTTCACAGATGGTGTAAGACGGGAGTCACGTGTGATACAATAAATATCGACTAACCCATAATGCTATGAGGACATGACATCATTCTCGTACTTTTGTGATTATGTGTGTTGTATTTGTCAGTCCTTCTTTGCCAATTATTTGTAAATTCATTCTGTGTTCTTGTATGTGTGTAATATTTGTCGGACGTTTATTTTATGTTCTTTGAGCTCAACTTCCAGTTTCCGTAACCCTCGTAAAAGTTATGAGACATTTTAACAATGGCAGGTGAATTTCACGTCATATTATGCTAATAAATTGTAAAACGGTTTAAAAATCACTGATATGTGTAATATGATAAGTATGTAATCGGTAATTTGGAAGCGGCCATCTTCTAATTCTGGAACCGGGTTTGGGAAAGTGAATTACCTTGTCTACAGACAACCTACAATAATTTAGTGATATTATACTAGACTTTTCCGGGTTGTCCTACCGTTTGTTTTGGACGTTTTTGAGGGATGGTTCTCAGTTTGCTTATCAATGGAAGTGCTCCGCGACCAGTTAAAAACAAGCCCAAAAAGATCGACGTTGAGGGCGCCGTTGGCTAACAAAATCGTGTTCGCAAAATTAAATTATGCATGCGAGACAGTTCATCAAAGAAATATTGATTAATGTGTTATAATTAATAATGTGATTCACAACGTAGTGACATAAACAATCTTGTGAAATGTACCTTTAGATAGTCTTCTTCATTAGCATATGTACTGGTAATATACATGATCTCTTGTATTGCTTTGTCGACGTTGAGGGCGTCGCTGGTATCCGCATCTGAAACTGAAGAGGGTAGATACTTGGAAAGCGGAATTGCGTGTCCCACTGTAACGGAAAAACAGAGAAGACGAACATACAGGGATGACCGGGGTTCATTGTGCTTAGTATATTTAACGTCATGCTGTGAAAATTGTAAAGACAGTGGGGTAACATTATGGGGAGGGAGCTGTATTACATTACTAACAAATGTACAAACAGTCATAGACATGCATTATGTTTTAATAACAACTACATCAACATAATACAAGTCGTAAATGTGATAACACTCAGCCTCTAACGTAATAACACAGGCGAAATATTGATTTAAAGCGGGAGGGTCGTCACCTGCGCACGCGCGGGAATTGAGTCCCTAGTGACGATAACAACACACGCTAAAAACGTTCACGGGTAGACGCTTGTTTGTAAACAATGACACGCTATGGCCATCTGACGCATGCGCAGGAGACGACTCCCCGCTTCAATTTTTTAATGAGACAAACTATTAAAGATGCAATATGAAGGAGAGTGTATAATTTTTTAATATCGTTGTTTGATTCTGTATGTTGATTAGTGCATCGGATTACGATTTACCACGAATTGAAAACGCTGTAGCATCTGATCGCATGTGCACTACGCATGCGAATAAGTGTTTTCGATTTTTCATCTGACGAATATCTTGCAAACACAACCTCTTAATTTATGATAAATCATTTTCTGCTTTGGTCTACAGAATGACGTATCAAACACAATTTTTTTTTTTTTAGTTTTAGTCCATGTTGTATGTTCACGGCCTGTGTATGATTAAAACATGCACACAACAAACGTAATCTGTTCTTTGGGTGGGAAGAGCTCAAATAGTTTGCACACAACTGTCAGTCGATTATAAGGCTGCTCAACACAGATTTTCCGCACGTAGTTGGTTCAAAGTGGATGCATAAATACGTCCCTACTCCCTTTTTTGAAATGTAGTTTCAGAGACATTGTTTTATTACCTCAAGTTAAAAAAATCGCAATAATGTTTTCTAATTGAACGGATTTGAGTTTTACTTTTTCCCCATAGAATCCCAAGTATTGACTCGGTAATTTACATACAATAATATCACATCTCAAATTCACCGTACCCCCACATTTTTTTTTCAGATATGACTCTATAAAGCAATAAATCTATTATCAAAAGATAAAACAAATCCAAAGAATTTCGTGAAACTGTAATGAACAATCTAAATAGGTTAAAGGACGGTGGGTGTCGCACACCTTGCCTTCTGTCGAATTTCTAAACTAGCAAAATATATCCCAAGCATGGAAATCCTGTGAAATTATTTTCCATGTGTTCTTGTATAGGCATGTGCAGTGATGAAATGAAGGAGCTAGTTTAATGAGCGCAGTTGTCGTAAAAAGGCATACTACTAGTATATTGTTTCTACATAATGAACTGGCAAACAATATCATTAATTAATCACGTTATATGTAATGCCTTAGAAAATCTCACCTCTTTCCTCTCCACTATGAACCATGAGCCCATCACCCTGGGAACGCATGCGCACTGTGAAATTGCTCCGACTCGGATTCTCCACAACAATTCTGTCCGAATCAATCTTTCGATTCCGCAGAGCGTCTTTTGTTAGGGTGATACCGACGTTCCGATATCGGAAATTATAATTATCTGGTCTCTTCATACAAAGTATTTTTGGCAACGTGTCTATAAACACTTTACGAACCCACACGGGCATAACATGCGTCGTCGGCGATCGGTGATGAATATTCAAAACAAACACGGCCATAACAATAGATGACGTCACAAGTACCATAGTGAACAATAGGTATTTTGTTATTAAAGGCATTGTGTTTGCGTTCGCTGGGATGAGTTTTGTTATCAAGAGCAGAAACACCGACAGCGACACAAGCACCGAAGTACAAAGGGACATCTTTTCGCCGCAATCGGACGGTAAATAAAACACCAGAACACTACAGAATGAGATGAGCGCACAGGGAAGTAACAGATTAGCAACGTAGAATAAAGGTTTCCTCCTGATGTTGAAAGAGTAAGTGATGTCGATGAAAATCTCTTCGCAACACGGATACTTTACAGCGCTTCTCTTTCCAGGCGATTTCACGATCTCCCACTCGCCGCTCACCCAATAATCCCTTTGTGTGGCAAGCTCCCCCTCCGGTACTAAATCCACCACTGTGCCATCATATGTCCATGATCCGAACTTCAGCAGACACACCTGCTCGTCGAACGGGAAATACTCCACGTTTATACGACACGAACTTTTGTATATAGCCGGTGGCACCCACTGTACTGTGCCATTACTGAACACGTTTGCCATCGCCATGTTTTTAACATCGTACCCACCATCGGCGCTAGTTAAAACGGATACATATATATATAACACATGTCAGATGAATGAAAACATTTCACATTGATTTTAAGTTTAATTTACAAATATTTGGTCAATTTTAAAATGTACGTTTTTTAAAGAACCCTATGAATATAAAATAAATCGTATGTGCTCATGTGAACTTGCATGCTTTTTTAAACCTTGAATAATCATATTTATTTTTCTACTAAGTTTCCGGGTCACATTTGCATCTATCGTCGTTTGACTGGAAACAATTAGTTCGCATGATATCATCGTGTATCGAAATTGCGAGGTTCCCGTTATAGAACTGTCAGCATGCAATTTGCTTCGCAGAAATTCATTTTGTTTTCACTGGACTGATACCGTGGCAATTTCGAGTTTAGAAACTCTTAGGCGACAATGCCAGTTTCTCAATAAAACAAAAAAGGAAGGAGTATTGCATTGCATGTTATTGTATTGGCAGTTCATTCTTCGTTCCACTTTTAGAATGTACATACTAAAATATACGCTAATTTCTTTCATGTTATATAGCAAAATGACACAACTATTGTTCGTGTCAGTGTTCGGGGCTACGTACAATACTATAGTGGTGTAACAATTACACGTACAAACGTGCTCGAAATTCTTGATATAAAACAGTGGAATGTAATTAAAATTCAAAGATACATACACTAATATATCTATAACAGTAATAGTTACACGTAACGAAAGTTCCGGGGTATGTACACTAATCTAACTGTATAATAGTTACACGTAACGAAAGTTCCGAGGTATGTACACTAATCTAACTGTATAATAGTTACACGTAACGAAAGTTCCGGGGTATGTACACTAATCTAACTATATAATAGTTGCACGTAACGAAAGTTCCGGGGTATGTACACTAATCTAACTGTATAATAGTTACACGTAAAGAAAGTTCCGAGGTATGTACACTAATCTGACTGTATAATAGTTACACGTAACGAAAGTTCCGGGGTATGTACACTAATCTAACTGTATAATAGTTGCACGTAACGAAAGTTCCTAGGTATGTACACTAATCTAACTGTATAATAGTTACACGTAACGAAAGTTCCGGGGTACGTACACAAGTGTGGGTAACACGTAACGAACTATCTAGCTAGGTAGTTTATTTATCAAGCAGTGACACGTAACGATAGTAGGTATGTGACAAATTCACTTACTTGTTGTAGATTAATATATCAGGAATCCACAGAATTTGAGCAGGTACCCGGATGCTGGAAATGCCATCATATAAGTTTGGATCCCATTCCAAGTGGTTATCGTCCCACGACTGAAATAAGTACAAGACATAATAAACATAACCAACTGATCTTAGTGACCTTTCCCCATAAGTGGCGCCCTCTAGCGACGTTGCGTCCCTGTGACGTTAAAGACGACATTGATGATGATGGAGGTAATGGTAAGATTTAGCGAATTACTTAAAAACTTTACTTGTTTATTGACGTATAACAATAACGCCGATCGGTCTTCCTTCGCCTGTATACATCAGAAAAAGGCGCAACTTAAGCCTATAGTGTAGTCAGTGTATTCCGCGTTACAATAACAAGCCGATGAATGCAAATTTACTTATGGTTAAATCAGTTAATACTTTATTAATGATCATAATATTTTGCGAATTAATCTACAAGAATCACACGCTGAATATAATATACGCACAATCTGGTACGTTATATTTAATTGTACAAAACTAAAGTAACTATTTTCCCTAAAACCAAATTGTCATGGTAATAGTTCAGCTAAGTGAGAGTGGTTTTGGCACACATTCATTGTAATGTAGTCCCAGTGCAGTATATTAGAATTATTATAAATTGTACTTACATGCCTGAGCCATACTTTTGTTGTCATAACCTGGCTTTTTTCATTCTGTGAAGATAACAAAAACGTGACAACTGAATACGGGATGGTGATGGGTGATTATATTGTTATGTATCACACAGTAGAATGTGTAAGGCCTAATAGTATTGGTCCCCGTACAGACTAACGTTTTTATCTGCGGTGCTTATATTATAACCGACTGCTTGCAGTAAACTAAAATTCCAAATTGAAATGTCGATTGTATCGAGAAAACTTGTGAAATTGCGCCCTCTGCAGACGCTTTCCGAACCAGCGTAGAGGGCGATTTCACATTCGTTAAATTTGGTACTATTACCGTTACAATTTACCCATGTATTCTGCGTGCCTCCTTTAACTCTACCAACATTCCACCGCGTTGTATGCTTACCTCGTCTTTCATCAGCTTATTACAGTTTCTTCGACTGATGTTATTTTAGTTTATTTATATTATAACTGTCTTGGACATTACGAAATTAAAGACGTCAGAATAACTTGGAAGATGTTTGTTAAAGCACGTTAAATCATCGCTTAATTATCTGATAAGTATTATAACTAACATTAATGAACAACAATGAGTTTGTTATTTATAGTCAGCGCGGTCGTCAATTCATCTGAAAGGATATTCTCAGGACCTTTTTTTTATTTCTGCCAAAATATTGTAAAATTGCAACAATTTAATGAATGATGTGATATAATCATTGGTAAAGACATGTGAAACGTATTGTATTAATAATATGTATAACATCCTAAATACGGTTCTAAAAGCCGCCTCATCGCGTCCTCCGATGCGATCTTATGACGTCACGTAGCGAATCTGTTTTGCTAACTGCACTCATATGATATAAGATCAACAGTATTATGAAAAAGAAAACAGAAAACTATGAGTGAAAATAATGTAATATTTCTTTCATTAAAATACAAATAGCAAATATAACTCCACTTGTTTTTTTCCTACAGTTTATACATTCTTTACCAGCAACTTGAAAACACATTACGCAAAGACTCAAAGTCATGTGATCACCGCTGAATCGAATAGGGATACTACGAACTTTGGAATGGATTTATCACCAACGATTGATTTTTCAGCAAACTTGATCATGCATAAGAAGGTACAAAACAAAACAGACTCACCACATCTATAATCTGTGAGATAGCAAGCCCGAAGGTGATATTCAGGATTTCACTGACATTTGACACCGGAAGTGATAATTTGTTATATCCCCGGAAGAGCATTTCGCGCAGGTGCATCTCGGCTTCCGACGCAAGGCAGCCTGTGGAAGAGAAGTAGACAGTTGTCAATACAACTTTCCAAAGCATATCAGATATCAATAAATCCTATATTTTATTGAGGAACGATTAAAACTGCTATTTAAAATTGACAGTGATTTTATTATTTAATGCAAATTTTAACTCAAAATAAACAATGAAAATTGTTCTTTTGAACGAGAATGCATAAATTCGGATTAATTGTAAATGAGAATGTATGTTGTTATAAAAGTTTTCATCTGCTTGAAAAATCATCACTTTTTCCATCAAGATAATTCCAATACAAGATTTTGAAAAACATTTTTTCAGTGGAGTATTCCTGAGAGGATTGTGACTGTATACAATCTAAGTTTTAAATTTGTATCCGTTCTCCTTTAGAGAGCACACAAGAATGAGTTAGCATTAATTAACTTCTATGTTTTCGTTGTGTCCCGAAATAGACAATGGGACAACCAAAGTTGAGATCTTCGAAGAAACGATATCTCAAAACATGATAGCTTCTTATAAACTACTGATCACTGAGATGAAATTGGATGCAAACTTTACTCCGGTCAAATGCTCTCAGAGTGCGCCCTCGTTTCAAATTGACAATTATTATTTTCGTGCAGCTTGGGTCAAGGGTCAAGTCATGCTCTGACGCTGCAAATGAAATCCTTGATTAAAGTTCTGTTGAGGAAATAGGGCATTTGGATTTTGATAAATTTGGTAGGTGTATATTTCTGCATTTATTGCATCTAAATGTGGTTCAAAGGGAAATTTTAGTACAGTAGCGTGAACTACATGATATGATGTATGACGTCATTGAATAGTCATGGTGTAAAAATGCAAAGTCTAACAATCATATGGCGAGTGGGTCTGCCTGAATTGAGAAATCGAGCAAAATAAATTTAATAATTTTGAAAAGACGAAGAACGTCGAAAGCCCGAATGCGTTCGTAAACAATCGGTTGAAATTATTTCGTATTCCAGTCCCCGCACGTTGCGACCACCACCAGGCTCGGGATTGGGCAGCGACATAAGCTGTGTTTACGATGATCATGCTAAGATATAGCATATGTATTTTGTCGGCATAGAAATAACATCTCCGCGTTTTCCGTTAAATGCATGTTCGAGTATTTATCTATTTATAATACGATGCGAGTGGAAAGAGAAAACATGATGGCGTTTGTATGTAGATTGGATGACAATCAGTCAATGCCACGAAACCACTTTGTCAAGCACATTCACTCACACACACATACATCAGTACACATTGCCTGTACACCCCCTCCCACTAGGTTATTATTTAATGATTAGCAACATACGGGCGTTCTGTAATAATACCGAGGGGGTTGATATATATATACGATCCACAACCATCTTCGATGGCTATTAATATAATTAATCACCCTCGTATGACGTCCCTACTCTGACGTCACACGAAGGATGATTTAATAGATTGAAATATCAATTTCTGTTGATAGGAATCCTTGGACTGTGAATTCGTTTTAACACAGGCGACAATCTCATCAGCATCATCAGATGAAAATATAGGCACGCTTGAACATAACCAGATCGTCATCAATTACGTCACAGCTGACCTTATGTGATCCCCGCTGAGGCGAGAGAGCATTATGTAATCACTCGAGCCATCGACCATATGTAAACATATGTATATCTGTAATTGGTAAATGTTAAATGAGGGCTGAACGCGGTCACACTATGACACTGGAACGTATTTTACTCGTGCCTTGAAATAATAGCTTTTTACCAGTGCGATGAAGTCATATACACAGCAGAGTCGCACTGCTAACACGTACGTTGTGCCATCGCCGTGGTTCGTGTACAGCATCAAGTGGATGTATATTCACGCCGGGTGACTTAATTTCTTCCCTTATACGACACGTACTTTCTCAATAAAATCCATTATCACTGTGAAAGGTCATCAACATTCAACATTTAATACGGTTTGATCATGCGTAGCAATAAACAGTGGTGTTCCGTGTACCATTTCACCGGAGAGAAAGACAGTTATTGGACTGAACCTGATATTCAATCAATTCAATCACGGATGAATGAACCTTTCGGTACGAAATTGTCTGCCGCCTTGTTAACTGATAGTAAAAATAACCTACTCAAGATGGCGCGTGTTCTGATTGTGCACCTGTCAGCAGACATGGTAAATTGTAGGTTCCATGGCTCTTGATCTTACAGTTCCAATGAACACAATGCTACGAAACATACAGTTCCAATGAACACAATGCTACAAAAATATGATATGATAATTGACGTCGAGAGAGGACATCAGTTATCCCATTGAAGGCAACAATTACCAGGAGTACTATATTTCATTTCAACCCGCCATTGACAGTTCGATGTTAAACGCAAGAAGACAAAAAATGAGCGTCCGCTTTTGTTTATATTAAATTGTATAGATGTACAGCAGTCCCGAACTTGGATTAGTTAGTTAACTAAATAACATGGCAGTTGACAACGACCGAACCAATAATTATATCTACATCTTCTATACGTGACAGACGGGGTACGATAGTTTTACCACTCAAGAGTACAGAATAGATTGATGACTCAGTGGGGAGCGTACTGGCGATGTAATATTTCAGTAGTGTAATATTAGTCATAAATTATAACAGAATTACTTATATCTGTTGATGGCTGTATTGTAACAACATATTTAACCATTTCTCACCATTACAAATTTTAAACCTACATAATATTAATATAATTTTGGTCAAGATGTATTGCCGATAGGATATTTATTGGGTCCAAAATTATTACCCCAAAATATAGAAAAATACATAAAAAAATGATGGCATTCAAAATATGCAAATCTTTCAATCATGGCTCCAAGTAAGAACTGGCGCTTCAACCAGTTAACATAATACCCATATTGTGTGTGTGTATGCGTTGAGGGGTTGATTAACACACGCAAGTTAATAATATCACAGTTTTTTTATTACCTCCCCATAAATGCCACATCACACGACATTACAGATTCATCATGCCAAAACATTCTGCATCATGTGTTCATTAAATTTAAATAATATTTCAACAATAACACATGTTTGTGAGGGCAGGCAAAAAAATGTGATATTGCCCGAAGGAACATTTATTTTATCACGATACACACGTAATTGGGTCTTAGCCAATCACATCATACGTACCAACAGTGAGATGTGATAAATTAAAACATTGTGTGCTCATAATGGCCGCAACACTCATATGTTCATAATAGCAAATTAATGACTTATAATACGTTGCAACATAATACAGCATAGGTTCATATTGACCTTAGCATAAAGTCACAACATGAAACATGTTAGATTCATATTGACAACAACATACTATGAGGTTATTACGAAAATACGTATCGGCAGACGCGTGGGAGATATATTATACTCCTGCTTGTATTATAAATGTGATGGGGATGACAGCTATAAAAACCCCACGGAAAATCGGACCCCAGAGATCGGATCTGTATATTTGGAAAAGTACAATAGTTAATAATATGTACTGTTCTCCAATTACAGTAGCTAGCGATGATCTGTTATAGTTCAAGCGTTTCAAAATCAACGGGTGGTACATTACCCAGCAGGCTACACATGTGGTATAATGGCGAATGTTTATTGCACGAAACTGAATATACCGTGATGATATTAACACTTATTAAGTGTGACATTGAGACAAAATACAATCATGTATGCCCTATTCATAGAAATACATCTTTAATTATTGACAATGCTAATGAAAATTGTATAATTAAATAAATAGCAAATGGAAAATATAATTCTATGTTAGTGTTTTTATCAGGTGCATGAAACATACGAGGGGAACTCTAAAATTCAAGTTTTCTGTTCGTTGAAGTAGCGCATTGCGTTAAAAATTACTGTTTATCAACACAAATCAAGTGGAAGAAGCAGCATATATGATATATTTGAATCACATTGTCACGTCACGCCATAGCTATACCCTAGTTGAGTAAAAGACAATGCCCCGCATGTTAATACCCCTGAACAAATTATCCATGTCAATCACCGTCAGGGCAACTAATAATAATAATAGAGATCCATGCTACAAAATAACTGAACCAACCAACACCGCTCTGTACAAATGCAGTAGTAGGGTGATATGTTCACAGATATTTTACACTCAAAACATATTCCATTCACCCATCCATCCATATTTGAAGACTAAAATTTAGGTTTCTGTAGCTATTAAAATTGGCATAAAAGTAGTCAATATACGTTTTATTGATTTGAAGAAGAGGCCTTTGACGGTGCTTGACACAATGGCATTTGCTCACAACTATATTAGTATGGTATCACTAGTAAAATGTATAACATCATTAAAATATATATATAGTAAAGTGAATAATAAAGTTAATAATTATATAGATGGGTTATCAGAGAAATTTAATTCTAATAACTCAGGGCTAAACCTTATTTACCTCATTGCTACATGTGAACCACCCACTTTAGAGAATTAGATCCGCAAGCTAGTCTTGGCAAACATTCCTTGTATACCAACACGGCACTTATAAAACCAAAGTGTTAATTTTCGATAAATCAGATAGATATTTAGACAGTGACATATTCATTTTCTTCGATGAACGGTTAGAATTTCACAATTATCTATGCTTGAAGATCAGTGCTAATAGTAAACTGTGACTAAAACATATTTAAAAGGAAGCACAAAAAACACTTTTGGCATTAAAAACAAAAAATTGGCTTTAATCAAAATTACAGTATTCAACATTTTCACTAAATCTTTTGATACACTTATCAGACCGATTTTTGTTTATGACAGTAATGTCTTTGATAATAAAACTCATTCTCAATCGAACAAATTAATAGTAGTTTCTCTAGATTTCTGTTATGCGTTTCAAAAATGATGTATTTTACAACAAAACAAAATCCAAAGCTAAACAACCAGAGTTATAGGAAGCTTATATAATAATTATTTTGAAAATAATTTTGCCAAATAACACCAAGCACATACATCCAATTTAC